GGGGGGATGTTGCATCGTCTGCAGAGTCTTTTGCTTTCGTTGTGAGTGATTTTCGTGTGCAAGTTCGGTACTAGTCCCTCTAGGATTTTCCAGGTGTATATAATCATGTTGGTTTAGAAAGACACGTAAGCAAACACTATAACATATTTATTAGAAAACGTTTCGGTCCTGGGACCTTGATCACTTCTAACATACAGAGGTAGAAAGACATTATATATATAGGCGGAGAGTGAGATGTGACGCACGTGACCTGAGGAATGTCATAAGAACATAAGAATGGAGGAACACTGTAAAAGGCCTACTGGCCCACGCGAGGCAGGTCCCCATCAAACAACCTCTACCTATGATGAGGACGGGTAGACGATGAAATAATGTGACTCCTGTGTTGTTGGGTTGGTGCTGCTTAAGTATCATGTATGCCAATGTTTTTGAAATTTTGTAGTTTCCGGTGTTGTGTTCTATAGTGTCGGTGACGGCGATTAGTGAGGCTTCTAGGCACCGTCGTCGTCTGAGGTCTGGTTCGGCGAGAACGAGTTGTGCCTCGTTCCAGTTCATCAAATGCCCCGTGGAGTCTCTGTGGAGGACACAGGCGTACCTTACATCGTCTCTGTTAGAGGCATTTCGATGTTCATTCAGGTGGACTGCAAGATCTCTGCCTGTCTCGCCTACATATTTCTTGGGACAGAACCCACAGGGGATAGTGTAGACGCCTGCTGTAGAAGTTAGAGGTGTGGGGCTGCGTTTCGTAGTGAGGTCTTTGATCAGATGATGTGTTTATGGTGGAAACGTTGATGTTACTCATAGCAAGTGCCCGGCGAGTATTCGTGGCAACATCGCCACATGGAGTACTATGAACTGTTTAGGGGGCTGTTCCATGGGCGGTTTGTTGAGGATAGCTTGTGCCTTGAGTCTGCAATCTCGGATGAAGAAAGATGGGAACTGAAGACGTGTAAAGGCTTGTGTTATGTAAGTGCATTCTTCTTCTAGAAAACAAGGGCTGGAGATGCGAAGAGCTCTCAAGAAGAAGCCAATGAGGACTCCTCTCTTAGTGCGGGTGTCTTGGTGTGATAAAAATGTATAAGATCGTCCTTGTTGGTAGGTTTTCTATACACTTTGAAGAGAAGTTTGTCACTGTCGGGAGATCTGCACAGTAGAACGTCGAGGAAAGGAAGTTTGCCATCATTTTCGGGTTCAAGTGTAAACTTTATTGATGGTTCAACTGCATTGATCTTGTTGAGAAGGGCCTGGATATTGAGACGTCTCGGATAGAAAACCAATATATCATCAACGTATCTTAACCAGGTAACGGTGTTGGGAATGAGGGTGCTGAATTTCTCTGTCTCCAGGTTTTCATGGAAGAGGTGGAAAGCACTGCACTGAGCGGGCTGCCTTTGCCATCCAATGCATTGTTTGTTAAACAGTTTTCCTGCTACTTGAAAAGTTGAAAAATTAACATCAAAGTTCCACTAGATTGTGAAATCTAGAAGAGGTAAAGGGAGGTCGTGGTTTTCAGTGAGCCTCTGTCTCAGAATGTTGATTTGCAGCGTCAGTAGGAGTTGTAAAGTGGGCTGTGACATGAAGGAAGCCATGCTTTTGTTTGTCATTCAAGGTTGGAATTCGGGAGAGAAGGTCACCTGAGTGTTTGAGGTGGGTCTTGACTGAGTGCCCAGAAGCCCTGAAAGGTTATTTGGCAAGGTGGCCGGCTAGTCTGTGTGGTGCACTACCTATGCCCGAAGTTGATAGGCCGTTAGTGGGATGCCAGGTTTGTTGTGTCTTAGGAAGGCCATACAGGACGTGCTGGTTTCGTTGACCTGGTAAAAGTTTTAAGTAGTTTTTTGCCTTGTTCTGTTTTTCGTATGTACCCAGACTTTCCTTCAAAAGGCTCGTTTTAGGCATCTATACGAAAATCAGAACAAGGCAAAAAAAAACTACTTAAACTTTTACCAGGTCAACCGAACCAGCACCGCCTGTATGGCTTCCTAAGACACACAAACCTGGCATCCCACTCTGGCCCTATCACTTCCGGCATAGGGAGTGACCAACACAGGACTAGCCGCCACCTTGCCAATTACATTTCAGCGCTTCTGGGCACCATCAGTCAAGCCCACCTCAAACACTAGGTGACCTTCTCTCCCGAAATTTCCAACCTGAATGTCAAAAACAAAAGCATGGATTATTCGATTTTTGTTTTTTTTTGTCCCCAAAAAAAAAAAACCCAATAGGGGGCCCTCTTTCCAACGTTCCTACTGACGCATGCAATCAAAATTCTGAGACTGAGGCTCACGGAAACCCTCACGACTCCCTTTGCCTCTTCTGATTTCATCAATTAGTGGAAACTTTGGTTAATTTCAATTCTTCAAGTTCAGGACAACTGTTACAAACACTGCGTTGGAGATGGCAATGGGCAGCCCGCTCAGTGCTGTGATTGCCAACTCTTTCATGGAAAACCTGGAGACAGAGAAATTCAAGCACCCTCATTCCCAACACCGGTTACCTGGTTAAGATACCGTGATGATATATTGGTTTCTATCGAGAACGCTCTCATATCAAGGCCCTTCTCAATAAGATCAATGCAGTTTGAACCATCTTTAAAGTTTACACTTGAACTCGAAAATGAGGCAAACTCCTTTCCTCGACGTTCTACTGTGCAGATCTCCGACAGTGACAAACTTCTCTTCAAAGTCGTATAGAAACCTTACCAACAAGGACGATCTTTATACATTTTTATTCACACCAAGACACCGCACTAAGAGAGGAGTCCTCATTGGCTTTTCTTGAGAGCTCTCGCATCTCCAGACCCTTGTTTTCTAGAAGATGGAATGCACTTACATAAACACAAGCCTTTACACGTTTTCAGTTCCCATCTTTCTTCATCCGAGATTGCAGACTCTCAGGGCTCCTGGATGAGGACTAACAAAATTACACTAAACATTGGACAAACTACTTCATTCTGTTGGTAACAGAGCTTACAGGATGTACCTCTTAACTAACGAATAAAACGGATCACCTATCACAAGCTAACAGAGGGAAATATTAGGAATCCACCTGGAATAGACTCAAATTTCATAAACATATGCAAACAAATTTATAAAACAGAAAATTTTACAAGACTGTAGCATACTATCGAAAATACGGTACTATGTTCCACCAGTCAGCCTCCTGGCCCTTTATCACCTCTCTTAGTTACCCCTATCTCACCTATGGAATTTGTGCATGGGGACTCACGTCAACAACAATTAACCAATCTCAGTCCACTAAATTTACCCAACAAAAGGTGCAGTTAGAATGATAACCAATCTCACTACAGGCAAACACACTCACCAATATTCAAATCACTCACCCTACTCACCATACAAAAAATCCATTACTATTATTGCACTTTTACATACATAGAACACTTAACTCTGTTATTAACCCTCCCCTCAAAACATCTTTGCCCAACCTCCAACAGAACACATGACCATATACAAAAGGCACAGATCCACTCTTGATGTTCCTGGGTCCATCTCACGCTATGCAAAAAAACTCAATGACATAAAAGGCCCTAAAATCTGAATTCATTACCTGTAAATATAAAGAACACTACCTGTTTATAAATTCAATGTCTCTTCTCAAGTTCACTTACTCACTCAAAACCAAATAAGAATACTGAATATAAACTGAACCTTAATAAATTGTATATCCAAAATGTTACTCACAATTATATCACTAAGTGTTAAACCTAGGAACCATCTAACTTTGTTATTTTTTTAAATACACTACCTAACAGAATACTCCATTCGACTGAATGTACAGCAATGCATGCAACCATATGACCTGTCTTTGTAATACTCATTTGTGCTTTATAGTTATCTGTTTACAATAATGTCTTATCACTGATTTCATCATTGCTTAGTTAATCTTAAGTTAATTTTAAGCCAGCCCGTAATGCTATGCATATAAGTGGCTTTGGCATGCTGCTCTTACCTGTATTTTTTTGTTCCTCTGTATGTATGCTAAAATTTCTAAATAAATAAATAAATAAAAAAAAAAAAAAAAAAAAAAAGCTATCCTCAACAAACCGCCCATGGAACAGCCCCCTAAACAGTTCATTGTACTCCCATGTGGCGATGTTGCCACGAATACTCGCCGGGCACTTGCTATGAGTAACATCAACGTTTCCACCATAAACACATCATCTATCAAAGACCTCACTACGAAACGCAGCCCCACACCTCTAACTTCTACAGCAGGCGTCTACACTATCCCCTGTGGGTTCTGTCCCAAGAAATATGTAGGCGAGACAGGCAGAGATCTTGCAGTCCGCCTGAATGAACATCGAAATGCCTCTAACAGAGACGATGTAAGGTACGCCTGTGTCCTCCACAGAGACTCCACGGGGCATTTGATGAACTGGAACGAGGCACAACTCGTTCTCACCGAACCAGACCTCAGACGCCGACGGTGCCTAGAAGCCTCACTAATCGCCGTCACCGACACTATAGAACGCAACACTGGAAACTACAAAATTTCAAAAACATTGGCATACATGATACTTAAGCAGCACCAACCCAACAACACAGGAGTCACATTATTTCATCGTCTACCCGTCCTCATCATAGGTAGAGGTTGTTTTGATGGGGACCTGCCTCGCGTGGGCCAGTAGGCCTTTCACAGTGTTCCTCCACTCTTATGTTCTTATGACATTCCTCAGGTCACGTGCGTCACATCTCACTCTCCGCCTATATATATAATGTCTTTCTACCTCTGTATGTTAGAAGTGATCAAGGTCCCAGGACCGAAACGTTTTCTAATAAATATGTTATAGTGTTTGCTTACGTGTCTTTCTAAACCAACTTGTCGGTATTTATTACCAAGGTTTATACCATATAATCATGTATCTCTCCCGCCTTTGTAACTTGTTCAGCTATCAAAACTTTGGGGTCCAGTCCCTGGACCTATTATGTACCTCTATAACCTTTTTGATTACCTCCCACAGGATGGGTATGGGGTGCATAATAAATATTAAACTAAAAGTAACCCTTCTATATGATCACAATAATGGGATTCTGTTAAAAATCAAGGAAGGCACTGAGTAAATAGAAAAGTTTTATCATTTCTTTGTTACATTCGTAGGTAAGCTTTAAATTTGTCAGGGTCATGCAGAGCCTGGGGAATGGAAGGTAATCGGGTAAATAGTAAGACTTACCTTGATTACAGTTCACTGTGTACTCTAGTGATATATTACGTGTGAGGAGTGTGAGTCTGAGTCTGGTGATCCCTCCTCTCTCTAGTTTAATACTGGCAGCCAGAGGCTTCAAGATAACAGGATGGAACGTAAAACTGCGTGGCTGTTGCATAGCATCATGAGGAATAAAGGCTAACTGTAGAAGGTGTTGATAATGAAGGCGAAGATATAGTGCTGTCCAGGCTTTCGGGAACAATACAGGAGGCCAGGAAACCTGCCCAGAATCATAAATGATGTAAAACAGTGTATTCATTATACTCTGACTGTTTATTTAAAAAGTTAACTGATACATTAATAACTAAAAATAAAGGATTGATATTTTTTACTTAGTGAAAAAAATTGTTTTAATTCTATATGCAGTATTTGTAAATGTACTATTATATATATTCTTTCATTTTTATAGTTTTTATGCCTTTTAAATCTTACCAATCTAATCTGAGCAGTGGCTTAAATACTAACTTCATAAAACTCTGGAAGCTTACTTTAAATACGTTGTTGCTAGTTCTGATGTCCTTGACGGTGACCTCAATATCGCCCCACTGCACTCCCATGCTAGCCACCAGACCCAGGCAGTATAGCTGCTCTTCTTCACTTGTCTCCAGATCTAACTGAATCCTTAATTTTTTTATCAAATTCTGAGGCTTCAGCCATATTAAAACATTTTCTTCCAGTTTCACTGGGGGAGTGGCATTTTGAAATTTTAAATAACTAGTTTTTGAATCTAAAGGGCGGAAATAATATTCTGTTTTTTTAGTAACTAATAAATATGAAAAGGTCCCCATCCCTTTCCTCATAAGGTCAACACTTCAGCATTAAGGTTTAGTTTTTTTCCCACCGAAGTGGTATTTATTTTTGCACCCCCTTTAACCCACCCTTTGGGGAGGGTTTTAGCCCCAAAAAAGAACATATGGAAAACAAAAAAAGGTGGGAAAACTGGGCCCCAAAAGGTTTTTAAAACGGGAATACTTTGGGAAATTTATATCTACATATCAAATAGTTCACTTATTGTTACAAACAAATTTAGGAAATCTCCCTTATAAAATCTGGAAACTTTTTTTTCTTTAAATTAAGAATCTTGACAGTCACATAAAAATCAATAAAATAAAATCAAAAAAAGTTTATTTTTTTAAGGATTACAATGGGGGAGTTTACAGATTTTGGTTATTGCGTGGTTTACATAGGTTTTTAAATACTGTCTATCCTGTATTCCTCAATAAGGGGGAAAATTTAAGCAAAATAGTGTTCAAGACAGTGCCATATGCCTGATCACTTTTAATTTACTTTTTTTTTTGGGATTACCCAATCTTGGGGAAAAACTTTTTTCCAGGGAAACTTTTTAAAGGGCCGTAAGCATCAGCACCCGAAAATTAAACTGTTTTCAAAAACACTTGCTTGTAATATTTGAAAAATTTTACAGATAAAAGTATTTTACATCGGGAGTTAAAAACAATAATCTTAGGAGAAATAACTTTTTTTTAAAAGGGAAACCTAGAATACTTAGAAAGGTAAATACGGGAATTATGGGTTTTAGCCAGGGGTTTAAAAAATTTCCCAAACTGAGATCAGGAGAGACGATGGTTAGTGGGGATATAAAAACTCAAAGAAGAAGGGTTTGTGTTTCCTGGAAGATTTCCCGGGGGGCCCAAACCCCCCCGGGGCCCCGGGTCTTTTCCCCCAGGCCTCCGGGTTTTGGATCAAAAGCCTGATCAACCAGGCTTTTGCTGCTGGCTGAAACCGAAAACCAACGTACGAGCCACAGCCGGCTGGGCAGGGACCGGGCTTTGGTGCTTGTCCAGTGCCAAACTTGAAGATAGTTTTTTCCCCCCGAAGTGGGTTTTTTTTTTTTAGCCCCCCCCATATCCTTCCCCGTTGGGCGGTAAGCCGAGAGCATATGGATACACCCAAAAAGGCCCAGGAAAATAGGGCCCCAAAAAAGGGGTTTAACCCGGAATACATAAAGGATTTATTCTACATAAACTATAGTTTTACTTTTGTTACAAAACAAAATTTTGGAAAATTTTTTAGTAAAATTTTTGGTATTATTTTTTATTAATAAGATATCTTGACATGTCAATAGGGTTTTTATACTGCTGTCTCTGTATTCCTCAATTAAATGGACAATTAAGCCATAGTGTTCAAGAGAGGGACCCTAGGCCCCGATTTAAAAAAAAGTTTACATTTAGTTTGATCATCATTGTGTGTCTCCCCAAAATGCCAGAAGTACTTGGAAAACCAAAACCTAAGCCCGGCCACTACAACATAAACCCGTTGTTTACATTGCAAGTTGCTCCTTTAAATACTTATCTACGTTCATGTTATCAAAAGTGGGTTATAGATCTACTTAGGCTTCAAACTTTCTTCCTATAACAATCATTTTCATTATTTACTTCTCTTAATATTATTTTCCCAATGCTGGGCAAAAGTTATAAAACCCAAAATTTTATTCTCATTCTCCTTCTGGATACCTTTTTCTTGGCTAAAAAATCAACTTTATCAAAGAAGGGGGAAAACCAATGTGTGGGTGGGTCCCTAGCAATTGGGACATTAATTCCCCTTTGCCCCAATTTTTTTAGTATCTATACCTGGGTTCCCCCCAAAGAGCATTTTTTTGGAAAACATTTTTATGGGGTCAAAAAGCCTTCAATGATTTACATAGAATCGTAATGATGATGAGTCAAGCTCAATGGGCATAGGTTAGCTTTAGCCCCCATTAGGGTTGCAAAAAAAATTAAATTTGCAGTGTTTTAAAGCCCAGTTGTTAATTCTTAAAGCCTAACTCAACAAATTTATTATCGTTCTTAACTAGGGAGGTGGCAAAAAGAGCAGATGCAGCCCTGCCAGAAGACTCCTGTTTAGATCCATCAGTGTATATAACTTGTGATAACTTATTACTACCGCTAGGTGAGAAATTTCTTCTTGAGCAGTTGCTCTAACAAGAGATTTAAGGAAGGGATTACTAGCAATGAGCTTCTTGGGAGGGACTTGTAGGTATGTGATATTAAATGAACACATCTTCCATGGAGGGGTGAAATGCTCTTGTTGCCTACAGTGATACAGTTCATGTAGGTTATAAAACTTAATGCAATTGCACGTTTTCACAATCCATTTAGATCTGTGTGTATTTACCTCTAGACACTTGGTAAGATTCACTGTGACAGTGTCTGGTTCGTTTCTCAACATTCTAATACCGAGTACAGTGTTAATTTCAAACAATCCTATCACTGATACTAGAAATACCAAGCTCCTCCTCATGTTAAGAACTTTTGTAGATCTGGGACAGCCAAGAATAATCCTGAGAGCTTCATTTTGCATTAACTCCAAGGGTCGGAGGGAACTTTCTCTAGCTATATCAACATGGGAGCAGCATAATCAATTAAGGACCTAACATAGGCTATGTACATTCATTCTCACGATTCTCACATTAGCACCATAGTTGGGATTGTAGCCAGCAACAGCTTTGAGAGCATTTAGCCTAGCTTTGCATTTCTTGTTTAGTTGTGGTATAGTGGATTTGTTAAAGGGTACATCTACACAAGATATCTGTAAGTTTAACGTAGCTAATGATTTCAACCTGCAAATAGATGGGTGGGGGATGTCGTTTGCTTGTTAAGATCTTTGTTTTAGAGGAAGATATTATGAGGCCTAGTCGATTAAAAATTGCTTGAACTTCATTAAGAATGGTATTCATCTTCTTATGCCCTGTTGTATGGATCATGATATCATCAGCATAGCTTATAGCTATATGTTTTAGGTGAGGCAGGTAGAGCTTTAGGAGTGCATTAATCAGAATATTAAATAGCATGGGACTAAGAACTCCTCCCTGCGGTTGTACCTAAAGACATTTCTTTAGAATCACTTCTGAAGCCTTGGTAAAGGACAGAGGATACTCTATTTGACATGGTATCCTATTATCCAGCAGAGTATAGCTACCACCAATATTCATTTTGGCTAGTTCATGTAGTATAACGGTTCTGTTCGCAATATCAAATGCAGATTTTAGATCAAGAAAAGTGGTAAAACTAGTAGAGGTGTGTGCAGTGAGAAAGGTGGAAATACAGTTCTGCACACTTTTACCTTTCATGAACCCATAGAGGTAGGGGGAAAGTTGGTGTCTGATTCTGTAGTACAGTCTGTTAAGCATCATTCTTTCAAAAGTTTTACAAAGACAACTAGTTAAGGAGATCGGCCTAAATGTATCAGGCTGTTGGGGCTTAGGGATAGGCACAATGAGACTATTGGTCCAGGAAGTAGGAAGAACGCCCTCAATGTAACTGAGATTATACAGTGCCAACAAAGGGTTATCAGGCACGTGCCTTAGAGTTCTGAGAATATCATAGGTTATACATCCTCTCCAGGAGCGTTGATCGACCTTTGGTTAATGCATTATCTAATTCATACTCGGTAAAGAGGCAATCACTCTCATCATCAATATTTTGGCTCATAAAATTAATCAGTTTCAACATTTCTTCAGAAGTACTCTCTAAATTTTTTCTAATATGAGATGGAAGGCTTTCATGCCTGGATGTTTTGGACCAGTCAATTTATGAGGTCATTTTGCTTTTTCAAGAGGAAGGGATGAGCAACATTGCCGTCTTTTCTGGTTATTTATTTTATACCTTTCACCAAACTAAGGGGGGACTTTTAATCACTAACAACTGTTCCCATTCTGTTGCCTAGTTTATCCTTTCTATTCCTTGCATTTGTTAGTGCGCTTGGATTCGTTCTGAGCAGTCTGGGTTCTACATTCACGGTATGCTTTACCAATCCTCCTAGCTGCATGTGTTAGATTGCACGGCTGTGGATCATTATATTATTTACATTGGTTTTTATTGTTATTTATAGTGGAGGGTTCTTTGGGGTTTTTTTTCTTCCTATTCTGCCCACTTGATCTGTGAGAGATTAGATTTTGCCACCGAAGTGGCTAGTTTATTGTGCACCCCATATCCATCCTGTGGACGGTAGCGCGAGAGCATATGGATACACAAAAGGCCTAGGAACTAGGCCCCAAAGGGTTAACAGGAATACATATGGATTTAGATCTACATATTATAGTTCACTTATTCTGATTACAAGCAAATTTTAGGAAATTTGCTTAGTATATCTGGATATCGTATTTTCATTTATAGATATCTTGACATGTCTCATAGGTTATTATCTGTCTGTCTCTGTATTCTACAATAGAGTGGACATTAAGCACATAAGTGTAAGAGAATGACCATTGCTGATCACCTCATAATTTACATTTTAGTTTGATCATCATCTGTGTGTCTCCCAAACTGCCAGAAGTATTGATAACAAAGCCTAAGCCTTGGCCACTACAACATCAGTCTGTCTTGTTCAAATTGCAGTTGCTCCATAAACATACTTATCTACGTTCAGTTTATTCATAGTGGGTTATAGATTACTCAGCCTTCTAACTGCATTCCTTTAACAATCATTTTCATTATTTACTTTGTCTCCTAATATTATTCCTTAATGCTAGACAACAGTTATACCAAAGTTATATTCTACATTTCCTTCTCGATACTCTTCTTGGCTAACATATTCACTTCTATCATGAAGGAGTAAATCCAATGTGTGATGGGATCCATAGCAATTGTACATTAATTCCTTTTCCCTAATTTTTGATGTATTCTATACCTGGCTCCCCAATGAGCATGGTGTTGGAGTCATTATATGAGCAAGAGCC